TTCCTCATGTTGTGGTAAACCCTAACCACAATATTATTTTGTTGCTACATCGTAATTGTTATTTTGCTACTGTTTTGAATTGTAAGCAACTGATATGGAGGATATTGATATATGTCCCCTTTGAAGGGTCATTCAAAGAGGGTCATAACTCAGAGGTTGAGAATAGTATCTATTTTAGGCATTTGGTATCTATTTTAAGTATTTCTTTCCCAAGTAGACACACTTTTATCTATGTTTACATTTCCATACCTTCTATCCCTTATTAATAGGGGCTATTGTAAGCAGGCATCAAAGTTTCCATTATAGTCTGTAGAAGAATGAAAGGCATGTAATCTTTGGCACTAGGCAGAGCTTAGTTAAACCAAGTGTCTTGATTATGAGCTATGTAACTTTGAACTAATTATGGAATCTCTGAAGTTACTTCCCTGATATAAATGGATCTCATGGCATTTGATGGAATGATTATAGAAGCATGAACAGTCTGAACACATTAGCACTGATTTGAATGGATATGTTTAGGAGACATGGACACTGTGTTTGGATCCTCTGTGGAAGATATAGAGCATGATCTCTCAAAGCCAAATAAAGAAGAAAGTATATTGTAAGTTGTCTGATAGAAAATAATGCTTGAGCCTTTAAATTTCTGAAAATTACTTCAGCATTGTATTAACAGTAAAGTACTTATAGATTTACATACATTGCTGAATGCTAGCAGGATACACTTTGAAATGTTTTCATGATACTAAAACCAGTGTCTTTCTCATCATATCTAAGCTTTATGATTCAGTCTCTTCATTTTGGTGTATTGAATGCTTGAAAAGCGCATAAAGGTATGGAAATCTAATAGCTATATCACAGAGGACTACTTTTCCCTTAGTAGGGGAAATATATGACCTAGTGCCACCCTTCTTTATCCTGTTAAGTTAGCTAATTTATTATATTTAGCTGATGAGTTAGTATTAAATATGACACTGTATCCCTGTTTCCCATGCTACAATCACTTCAAGCATTTCTCCTGGAGTATTTTAATAGTGTTTAAATTGGTTGCCCTTTCAGGGTCATTCATTTTCCATGCTGCTGTCAAAACTAATAACAGCATTCTATAAACTAAACACCATCAATGCCTCCCTACAACCTAAAGGATGGCTACCAAATTACAAAGTATATAAGGTTGTCAAAATATGGCTCTGATTTATTCTTGCTTATCTGAGTCATTATATACTACTTCTTTCCCATTCAGCCATAGACAAATTATATACCAGCTACAATGATTCAAGATTCTGTGACACTTGGCACATACCATTTCTCCATACGAAGAATGCGTGGTACCTTTCCATGTGAAAAGGCTGGTAGAGACCCTCTGAATCTAGAGCTGTCCACAATGCAAAAATTTCATTATGCCTTTTCCATTTCTAAAATAAGACTTTTAACTGTAAACTACATTTTCCCATTGAACTTTGATTTGAAGACAGGGACTTATTTATCTTCACAATTTAAAAGTTTACTATAATGCATCTCAAACAGGGTCAGTTACTGTGGAATGGGTGAATAAATGATTTGGAAGGAATCCAAAAATTAAAAATAAAAACTTTTGATGAATCAATGAACATGTAATTTAAAATAAACTGATAGAACTGATAGAATAATCCAAGATCAATACAAACTTTAATTATACTGAATTATATTGTTAATGTTTTATCTTATGTTATTTTATTAAATAATATCACTATAACTATGTTGTATAATATATGCATAAGTGAATGTGAGTGAGAGTGTGTGTATGTGTGTGCGTGTGCATGTGTATCAAGAAGAGATACACATGACTAAATGAGATTAAAAATATATATTTCAAGGGCAGAATTTTGATTAACACATTGTGAATTCTTATTAAATATTATGTGATCCAAGCAATGTGATTAAAGGAGTCAAAATAGGAAGCTATAAAGAAAGTCAGGCACATGTGTCTTGGATGCATTATTGTGTGTCCTTGAAAGCACAGAAATTAAAAGTCTTGGAGGTTCATGAACAGAATAAACAGTAATAAGTATTTTGTGGGAATGCACTGAAGTTGATAGAGTGCTTGCTTATTAGTGTGAAACCCTAGACTCAATCCCCCAGAATCTAATAAACCCAGCATATTGGCTTGCCTGTAATCTGGAGTTAGTCATCAACATTAGAATTTCAATGCTATCCTCAACTACCTAGCAAGTTTGAGTTCAAATTTAGATACATGAGACAGATACAGAAACATAAAGACTGTTTCACTTAGAGAATTAATATATAGCTAATATTGATTAAACCTTTAGGAGCAAACCTCTTTAAAGCATAGAGTTTCATTTAAAGGTTAATTTTCCTCATTATTAAAACTTTGTGTATGCAAGAAAGTAGTTCTGAAACTTTTCTTACTCATCTCTCATATTTCTTTGGTAGATTGCCATCCTTGCCTGATAAGTTTGGCTTCCCGTTTTAACAGTATAAGTCAATGAGAGTAGTAGCAATCATCAGGATATGAGGAAAAGGTGCTTAGAGAAAAACGTCACTCAATTCATAAAGAATTATCAATTTTTATTTTAAATTTTGACCACCTTCCTGTGCCTAGAGCAATCAAAATCATCTTTACCAGTACAGTACATGAAATCTTTCCACTGCATGCTGAGAGGGCATAACTCAGGCTGGAAACATTAGGATACACCAAATAATTATGATTCTGTACTTGGTACTGGAAGCCAAGTCACTCAAAAAAAAAAAAAAAAAAAAAAAAGTCTCAGTAGTCTTTCTGGGAGATTCCTTAGCAGAAAATATTTCTTGAGATATTTTTTTTCTTCACTTCTTTCCATACTTGTGCCTCACACTATTTTTTAAATTATTTTAAAAACTTAGTAAAACCATGATAAAATAAATAGTTAAATATTTCATTATTAACATTATGGTGCCACATCACTCTTCTGTACTGTGTCTCTACCCACAGTCATCACCAATCTCATGAGTACAAGATACCATGTAAATGAGAATTTGATTTCATATTAAATATTTCAGAGGATTAGTCAGCAACATACATAATATATTTTAAAATATATCCAGAGGATATAGTCAATATTTTCTAATAATTCTTGTATTTTGTCAGAGAATTAGTCAGCAACATACATAACATATTTTTAAAATATATCCTGAGAATGTAGTCAATATTTTCTAATAGTTCTGGTATTTTATCTATAAATAATTAATGTTCAAATATCTACAATTCAGTTTAAGAACTGACAAACATTTTATACTGTAATATATTTTCAACATATAACAACGAATTAAATACTGTTGTGTGATTACTATCCAGCAAACTTTATCAAAGTTTAATATACTTATAGAAGTCCAATACATTTTGTATTGTAAAAATGTAGACTCAGCATTTATAGAGACAGATTAAACTTTGGATATGTCAACCTATGATTACACAAAATATTTGCTTTTAGATTTCCTAGTGGAGAGAATTTTTAAAAAGCTAAGCATAATTATAGTTTGTTTTTTTATGTGACCAAAGTTTCAAATTACACATTGATTTTCTTGTCTAATTGAATGCTGGTGGGGATTCTTAATGTTCATAGTTAGACTGTCAACAGTTGTATTAAGTATGCTTACCTAATAACTGCATTCTGGCATGGGAGCAGCTCTGAGAACGTCTCAGTAATGCTTTTTGGAAAGTTGAAATATTTAAACATCAGCATAGAGGGTAGTGGGCAAAATTAGTGGTTCTAATGCTTTGGGATGTTACATGATTTTTCTTTGATTCTTCTTGCTGCGGACTTCTGAGGCCATCATGCTGGCAGAGTTTCAAAGTTTCCCCTGACAAGTAAGAAACAACTTCACTTCCTTCCTTCTTGTTTCTCTTTTTCTTTTTGTTCCTTAATTCTGTCCTAAGCTTAAAGGACATAGGAGAAGCTACTCTAAATTAGATCACACCAAAGGACCAGGTCCTCTGCACTGAGTGTATTTGAAAAGATATTAGGAATTCAGAAAAGTCAAATAAGCAAAGCAATGTTAATTCATGAAAAATCAGTGCAATATTAGTTTCCTTCTGTACTCTCTGAGAAAAATACTGCACATGTATTTCCATTATTTTGGGAGTTCTCATCTGTCATTTGTACCTTGTTATATCTGTGTCATGTTTGTCTGTATTTCTTTTTTACTGAAGCTTTACCTGTCAAATGCCTCATTTTTATTGTTTCATATTCATTTAGTTTTACTTAAAATACATTCCTCTTCTCATAATATCTCATTATATCAAATTCCTTTACAAATTCAATGTAATTTGAAACTAACATATTATAGAAATTAAAAACAATGTTGTATTGAATTTTATATTTTAAATTATATATAAATATTTATGTATATACTTCCTCACCTTTATTCTTATGTGGGAGCTATTTATTTATTGCTGCTGCTGCAATATGACTATACACTTAAGGAGATACTAATATTAACTTATAGTATTACTTAAGTGTTTATAAGATACTTTACTTACTTTCAACTTTTAAAATAAACTCAAATTTGACAAAGTACAATAAAAAACTAATATTTCCAGTCAAGTATTTTTCTATTCCAATTCAGTTAGTACACATGTATATATTAATTTAAAAAAAATCATCCATTTGTTTCTTTTAAAGAGTACAATTAAAGCACACTGACACTTTCAAAATTATAAATATACATACACACACACACACATATATATGTATATATGACCATAAATTAAGAAATTGTTTCATAAAAATACTCCAAATGACTTAACAGATTTTGATGATCCCTCCTGGAAGGCCTCATGCTCCCTGTGGAGTGGGTGGGGAATGGGATGGTAGGGATGTTCAAGGGGCATAGGAGGATGGGAGGGAGATGGAACTGAGATCAATATTTAAAATAAGAAAAATAATAAATAAATTAATTAAAAATATTTAAATTACTATTTTCTGCCCTTGTAAATACTGATTTGCCTATAAAGCTCGACCAACCTTGGTGTCTATGAGATCCATCCATGTTGCTAAATTCAATGTGATTTTCATCAGCCCAGTATAGTCTATTGTTGACATAATCTATTGTTAGTGACATAGGTCTCGAAATCTTGGTTTCTATGACAATACTCTGATTGGTACCATCCATTCCAACACGGCCAATGTGTGGATATTCACAGCAGTCAATCCAGTACAAGTATCTAGGAAAGAAAATCAATAACCATTTGTTGACAGAAGTTGCTGGAGTACAGCATCACATAATATTTTACTTTTCTTTTTCACTGTTTCAAAATTAATTTTTGGTGTATCTCTTAACTTTGTCTTTCATGGTAGACTTTACTGCAAACTTTTCTTATATTTTTGTTTGTTCTCTAAATTAGTCATATGATTCTGGGGTTTGTTTATTATGAACTTAGTTTATACCTGAGAACTCACAGATGCATAAAATTAATGGACATAAAATTGTAACAGTTTCTCTAATGATAAAAGAATAAAACAACCTATTATTGTGTTGTCCAACTATCTATCATTCCTCTATCGACCTATATCTGCCTACATAAGTTTTGGGTTTTTGAGCATTTAAAATACACTAGTCATTTTACTGGTTTGAATAAATACTATCATTGATAACCACTAACAGGTATAAATAAATATTCCTGTTTATGTGATGAAAATCAGAAAATTTCAATTAATCGTATTGCTTCTCAAAGTAGCTACATCTCAAGGCTATAAGAGCCACTTATTTCTGTTGGGAACTATATCTATTGAAACATGAGTGAGGAGTGTATGTCTTCATAGCACTTTCTACCTCATAGCATATTTAAATTACAGTGTCAGGAGGTATGAGGAAGAGAGTGGGGAGCGAATAAAAAAGTAAAATTTGTCTTGATACTGTTCATGGTAATACTAATTAGCCTTAGTTTAAATATAAATACTGCATGCTGTGAGGTACAAAAAGAGAAGGCAACACATTACTGAAACATTCTGCAGTATTTAAACTAATTTCACTTGAGATAGAAAATCTCATTAGTGAAATTAGTGAAGATTTGAGTTAGTGGATGCTTTATGTCATTCTCTTATTAGAAATTGAATTTTATTACTCTATCATGCCTTTTTTTTTTTTTTTTTTTTTTTTTTGGTCTTTTCTTACATCTAAGTAAACTCCTTATCATGTAATTCTCCAGATTTGAAGATTTGTAACTAAAATTATATTGTGAAATAATAATTCTATATGAGTTTTAAACAATGTGCTATGTAGTTAAAATGTAAACATATCCAGAGTTGGTGTTGTGGCTCACTAAAACTGCACTTGCTCAGCATATGCAAGACACAAGTTCAAGTACTGAAAATAAGGAATAAATAAATGAAGTTTATAAGCTCCCTGAAAGAAACATACCAAATACAAGACTAAATTATTATCATTGTAAATAAAATAATCATTGTTATGCTGATACTCATTTGACATAAAATGTTAACAATTTTCTTTAATATTACAAATAGCCTTGATGTCATACTTAAGTATTGTGAATACTGAGGAGAAATAAATCTTCAATAAGAACTAAACAAAGGAGAAGACTTGGAGCAGGTTTTTCCGTTTAATTGGTAGAATTCCTCCTTTAGGTACCATCCCAGATCCACAGAAACCAGGAATACTGTAGTATGCTTTTATTGCCATTGGAGGAGTGGTATCAGAACCTATAAAAATCATTCACATCTTTTTCAGGAATTAATTGAGACCCATATTGTTCTCCATCTTAAACAGCAGAGAATGATATGATATGATGTATGAAAGTTGACCAAAACAATTCATGATAATAAGCAGTTCAACTTGCTTCAATAAACCAGCAATCTCCCCCATGTCCTTTTAACAATATATTTTGGAGGACTGACTTGAACCTTTTCCTTCTAAGTGCAATATGCTCATGCAGGCTTTTTACATACTTTTACATAAGCAAATTTAGTTATGCTTTATGTATCAATTTATAAAATGTAAAAGTAACAATTCAATAATTTCTGTGTTAAATCCAGAATGCTTTAAAAGAGATAGCCTTTGTATTTCTGATGAATAATGAACATTTAATTTATCTTCATCAGCCTAAACTTTATAAAATGTTGAAATTTAATTGTAACCTACTTTGATAAGGTCATTATGATAAGGATAGTGCTTAATACTTAAAAGACATTTAAATAATAAATAAGCATACTAGCAAGTATTCAGCAAAATTATCTTAATATCTAATACCTCACATATGGCATGTATGAATAATTATGTTTTTGTTTTAATAATATCCATACAGTAGGATACTTGTACTATATTCCTGGATTTTGTGTATATTATCACTTGACTTTCCAAATAAAATATTCATTAAATGGAACAATATTAAGAAAAATTTCCATTGTTGAAGGAAAGTACCATGACATTGAATATGAGTGTTCCTAAAAGTATCTCCTGTTACCTTCTGAAGGTAAAGCATCTTTTTAATTCGATATTTTAGAATGTATGTATTTTTCAATATTGTTAGTGATTTTTCTGTAAACAAAATGGATGTTTGACCTCTGCAATAGAGTATTCAAGTAATTACCTGTATGGAACATTTGTTCCTGATAATATGAGAATCAACTCTAATGAAAATATTTAGAGTTAGAAATTGTGACGATAATAAATCTAAGTTCACATAAGAAAAGTCTTAGCCCCAAATGGCACATATTGCATAATCATACCATGTATAAATATTCAAAGTTATATCTTCTTGTAGCCATAACAACAGACTATGTGGTTTTAAAGAAGTGTTTGTTTAAAATGAACGAAATTACAAGTATCATAAGTTTATTGTTTTTCTCAGAATTCAGATAACAAAATTAGAGAGGTTTCTTTCTCCTAAATTTAGCTCTGAATCTGAATCATTAAAATAATATGTGTGCTTATTTCTTGTGGATTATGCCTAAATAGACATGTACTCTACTCAACTATTTATAATTTTAAAAGTAGCAAGATATGGTATTAATATAATCTCAAAGTTTAAAGAAATATTTATTTGCTTTGCACACAATATTAGAAATTAAATTTTTATCCTAGCCTCTCATTTCCTCACAGTAAGCATTCCTTCTTTATGAGAGTTTTATTTGGAACATGCAGGTCATTTCCAGTTTAACTATGATTCTGTTTTCTCAAAGGTATGGTTTCATGTCTGTACAGTGGTAACCCCATGGTCTTGTGTATGGGCAATTAGTTGTTTACTGCCAGGCTCCATAGTGAGATTAATAGACATCATGGATATACCATGGTCTATAAGCTGAAAATACTCACTTCTGGGTGGAAAGATAAAGCATTTATAACAAAAAGCAGTTCTGTACTGTTGCATTCAGTGTTTAGATTCCACTGAGACAATTTAGTAAATATTTCACACAGGAAAAGTTATTTCTGATGTTTTGGGAAAATTATATTGTCACAAAGGGATAAACAAAAGATATGGAGATTCTTATCCCAGTAGGTCAACAAGCCAGTTCTTTTCCCTCAGTATATGTCTTTTCCTATATTCCCTATGTATTAGAAGAACTGACATAAGCTAAACTACCTAAGTATAAAATAATCTTTAAAACATAATTTGCATTATAATCATATTTAGAGTCAATAATGTATATAAATGAAATGCATGTTTTACATGTACTCATTATTTCCAAACCAAAATGGCACATGCTATCTTTTCAGCAGATAGTTAATAGATCATTAAGAAAAACTCTAAACAAAAATATATTTTTAGACATAAAGTATGGATCTAAGGTTATATCTCATGGAATAATTCTGGGTAGTGTATTTGACACCCTGCAGTTCAAACAATAAGGCATGCTTATTATGATTTCTGTTGTGTACTACAAATTCATCATGTAGGCTATTTCTTTTATTAAAGAAAGTTTCACTATTCAGGTGGGAATGTGTAGGACTTGTGTGCCTCAATCTTTTTTCCTCTTTGAGTGTTTCCTGGAAAACACACTCTCAAGACATACTGAGCACTTTGTTAATTAAAACTTTAATTTGATGTAGTAGAAAACATGTGTAACCACAGCCTAGAAACTGAAATTAAAGCCCAAAGTTAGTTCTGTACCAATTAAATGAGAAACTCACTTAACTAGTTTCAAATTGAATGTTTTTATGTATAGTAGGAAAAGTCCTAAAAATAATATCATTCTCTGAGACAAATTTAGAAAGGCCCTCCAAATTGCCTCTTCAAATGTTGGTTATTTCATAGCACTGAACAGATCAGTGATCCCATCAATTCTTGACTTATATTTCAATAAATGTCTGCAAAGAACTCACACTTCTCCAAAATAAGATGTTTGTTACAATTGCACAAAATTAATCACATGAAAATCACAATAGTAATTTAATGTGGAATGTTTTAGCTATATTTTTATTAAATAATTTTATACATTTGTATGCCATCTTTCAAATGAGACAACACAACGTTTTATTAAGGAATGGCATTCTCTGCATAAAGCTCTTTTTACAGCTCCAAAAATCCATATCTCTTATTGTCTTGCTGTGGGGAACCAGAAAACAATGTTAAAAATTGCAGTGTTGAATTGTAGCTATAAAAAAAGGACTTTTTCATCCTAAAGCCATCATTTAGGAACTGATGAAAGCAGAAGCAGGCGCCCACAGCTAAACACTGTGCTGAACCCTTGGAATCCAGTTGCAAAGAGGGAGGAGGGATAAGCAAAAGGGTCAAGATCAGGCTGAAGAAACCCATGGAAACTACTGACATGAATGGGGAGCTCAGGAACTCCAAGTCTGGCATTGGAAAACCAGCATGGGACTGACCCAGACCTCCTGAATGTGAGTGTTAGTTGAGAGGACTAGGCAGTCAATGGGGTCTCTGGTAATGGATCAGTATTTATCCTTAATATATGAATGGACTTTGGGAGCCCAGCCTACATAGAAGGATACTCCCTCCGTCTAGACACATGGGGGAGGGCCTGGGCCTTGCTCCAAATGATAGGACAAACTTTGAAGAATCACCATGGAAGGCCTTACCCTCCCTGTGGAGCAGAAAGGGGATGGGATGGGTGTTGGTGGGGGAAACAGGGAAGGACAGCAGGTTGTAAGAACTGAAATTGGCATGTAAAACAAGCTTGTTTCAAATTTAAATTTTAAAACAGTGACTATTTTCCTTAAAATAATCTAATTTTATCTATTTTTTGGTTATAAAATGGCAGGCATACATGTATTATAAGGCAAAAATGAAGTCAAAGGATTTTTTTGTAGTATCCACAATAGTTTATATTTCACTATTTTAATTGGCATTTTTAATGATGGGTTTATATTGATGGTAACTGAAGGCTGCCTTCAGTTTATGGGGTAATAACTATAATTGGGAGAAATAAAACCCAGAGCTTGATCAGCTCCACTCACTGGACTAGGAGCAGAGTTTGCCTCATGAACAGGAAATCCTGAAAGAATATTTATGTTTATAAACAGGCAATGTTTCCTTTATTAGAAGTGAAGGATCTTTAATGGGATAGTATGGTATAGATATGAATACTTTGTTTTGGAATGGATTTTCATTTATTGATACAATTTAAGGTCAATTTTGTGATTAAGTATATTTCTCCTCTTGTTTAGGTATTGTGTTTATATAGCTCATTTAGAAATGCAATGTATAATGTAGTATATACAGATTATAGATAATTACCTATGATAGTCAAAGCTTAGAGTTAAGTTAGGTTTTCAAGATACACAGAGATGTATTTGAGATAGATAGAAATTCTTCAAACCTTTCAAAGACCTACAGAATATGGCATTTAAAATGGTTTAGTGTTTTCGTGACAGTGAGACATAATTGCTCTTGGCAATAACACCTGCACCAGAAAGGAAGATGGAAGATGGACATCGAAGAAATGCATTATGAAGTTTGCTTTCAATATGGCAAGACTAGCCATGTGGACAAGATACTGCTCTTGTCTGGACTGTTTGACTTTGTGATGTATAAACTAGACATGCAGGATCCACAGAAAAGTGACTGCTGATAGACATTGCTACAGAGTTCCTGCTTCATGGAAGAGTCTGCCAGACAGTCTGCAGGACACAGAAAAAAGTGATGGACAAACTGCCAATACAAGAAGACAGTTTAAAGTCTCCTGCTTTGCTGAAGAGTATGCCAGACACACTATGGCCTATGGGCTGAAGATGGAAGATTACAAAAGAACTTCGGGTGACCAGGCAGTGAGTTGTCTCTGTCATTTCTAGAGTTTATATACTATTCTTCTGTGGTCTTTAATGGAGTTGAAGACAGATAGTTATGGTTATAGTTTTCCTTAGTTAAGCTTAAAGATAAATTACATATAGGACTTTAACTCACAAAGATAAAATAGATGATGGAATATTTTCTTCAAATCTTGCTAAATGTTAATGGACTAAATAGTGTTAACTGTGATTCTTATTTGATAACTGTTATGTGATATATTTTGCTATGTTAAGGTTAAAACTCTCCTTTTTATTTAAACAGAAAAGAGGAGATGATGGGAGATGCCATTATGTATATATGTTTCTCATACTGGTTGATAATAAAGTACTGTTGGCCAATAGGAAAGGAAGATAGGAGGGACTAGGAGACAAGGAGGAAATAGGAAGTAGTAAGGAGGAGTCAGGATGGAGAGTCTGGAGAGAATAGAACAGCCAGCCGCCTCTTGCTGGTAAGACCACGTGGACATACATAGAAATGGGTTAATAATTAAGACAGAGCTAGCCGATAAGAAACTAGCACCTAGCCAACAGCATAATATCAAATACAGAGTCTCTGTGTGTTAATTGGGGCTGGTGCGGCGGCAGGACAAGACCAGGCGACGGGCGGAAAAACCTATACTCCTTACAGGATAGAGGAAGCCAGATCAATTTAGTTTCATTATTAAGCAGTAGGCATTAGTGAGGCATTCAAATAAAAAGTTTCTGATAAAATGTAAAACAATCTAATTATTCATAAATTTATGAATAAATGCAAATGGAGGCTTAATTCAGAATAACTGCCCAATATTTACTGAAACACTCATATAAATATCTATAAATGATTCATTTAAAATTGTTTTGAACATTATGTTGCTATTATAAATAAAATATTTTAAAATATAATAATGTAATTATGTAACCAAGTTATAAATTTTTGAAATTTGTATACTCCCTTGGAAAGAGCCACACAATATAAACCTTTGTTTTGTTTTGTTTTTGTTTTTTTGTTTTGTTTTGTTTTAGAGACAGGGTTTCTCGGTATTGCTTTGGAGCCTGTCCTGAAAATGGCTCTGTAAACCAGCCTGGCCTACACATGCAAATCTCATCTGATTTCCACATAGTTCAGCCATATTAATGTTTAAATTAAGCTATAATATGTATTATGTTATAATAATTTTCATGTTATAAGCAAGAGAGACAGAAGACACAAATTGACTATATTAGAAATAACCAAAATCTAATGGTTGCTAAACTATGATAAATTAAGTTACTTAGTATAACATACTTTGTATAGTGAATCTATACTACACTAGTCATCTCCTGGCTGCTCTGGGAGTGTTCTATTTTATCACAACCAACATTCTCTAAATTTGTTATTTTAATAAATATGTTAGGTAGGTTGACCTTTTATAGAAATAAATTTGATCATGTAATTAGTCTATATTACCGTGTAAAACTGCAGAGTCTTATAATCTATCCATAATCTGTAGATTTTCACCACACACCATATATCTTTAGCATATTAATAGGTGTGACCTGCTGGTCATATATGTCTGCAAAGCATTCTCCATTCTCATGCTCAAGCACCAGCCTTTCCCATGACCCTCTGCTTTTATTCATGAATGTATTTAATGATCCAATGCTACTTACAATCTGTGGGTACAAATTGTGTTGTTATGCTATTTATAGCTCTGACCAAATTTAACACTAAAAGCCATGTTAGAGTCTTCTGTCTTCACCTTTTCACAATTTGAGGCATCCGCATCAGTTAGATTTATTATTATTATTATTCATTTAATTGACTGTTTAGAAAAAGTAATCTTGTTCAAATACTTAGAATGCAAATATTTTCAGATATCTTTTAAACTCATTGTGTTGATGCCATAGCCATATTTACTAGGCTTGAATGTAAAAATGTCAACACATACATTTATTACTTTCATTTTCATGCTAATAGACCTAGAGAACTGTCACATGGGTATAGTCTAAAGCTTTAAGATTTTTAATAGTTTTACAAACCCGGCTCGAGGATCTAAAGACAGGTCCCTGGGATACTTCAGCCTTTTGCTAACAAGTACAGTAGGGTACAAGCCATTGAGTTTAGATACTTCAATTATCCTTTTCTCTGTGTCAGACCAATAGAGGTTTTTTCCAATCCAATCAACAGCAAGTGCATTGGGAACAGCAGTGTTATGCACTACCTAACAAAATAAGAATTGAGAAAGTTAGCAGTGTAAATGATTCAATACAAATCAAGCGACTAATTCTTGATTTTAATTGAGATACAGAGTTCTATTTAAACTGAAGTAATTAAATTTAGATAAGGAAGAGAACAATTTACCACCACACAATACTTTTTAAAAGAAGTTATCCAATGTGCATTTAGACTTCTAGAAGTTACATATGTGTTTATAGAAAAATAATCTCACCCAAAAAAAGATATTAAGTAAATACACAGTTGATGACTTCATTTCATTGGAGTTTATCTGCTCATCTTCTCAAAAGTTTTTGGTAAACTTTCTATCATGTACACACACAACTTTCATAAATCCTCCTGCCCTATACAGCACTACAAAAAGAGACAGGATTGTACATTGTTTATACCCAGCCAAATATAGAGTCTTGGAATCATACTTTCTCTAAACAGCCAATGGTAACGACAGCAGAAGCAGAAGGGTTTGAAGCAGCCATGCTGCTACCCTAGTATTTAGACTGCAAGACATATTTGCTTCTTTTTTCTTCCAGATCCTAAATCTGAAAATTGACATTGCTGACTGTTCAGTGAACATCAATGAACTAGTTATCCTGGGGAAAGGAGGATGATCATTTTTTAAACTCACAATACAACATGGTCTAAAGAACAATAGAAAGATTGTTGGAAGGTGACAGAGATATAACTTAAAAAGAACTTAGGTGTCTTTAAAATATAAAAGCGACCATTACTAAAAGCAATTCTTGTAAGGAAACACATGGTTGAGTGTGAATATTTTAACTTTCAAAAATATTGTGCACAGTTTCAAAACTTATGAAAGAAAGAAAATCTGCTCATTTTTTAAAATTACATCCACTGATCTGAATAGCCAAATTGCTGTTAGAGTCCTAGGCTTCATACACTTAGCCTGGATCACAGAAACCCATGCAGCATGTACATATATTTTAAGATTCCAGTAATATTTTCAAAACTGTTACTTCCATGAAAACTGATTACAAAAAAAGAATCAATAGGTTTCTTTTATTTGAAGCTTCTTTTTTAAATTTTTATTTATTCATTTATTTATTTGTGTATATGTGTATTTATAGGTATACACTCCAGGAGTCGCATGTGTTTATGTATATGTTCCACTTGCATGCTTGATACCCACAGAGGCCAGAGATCGCTTTAGGTCCCCTGGAACTGAAGTCACAGGCAGTTCTGAGCCAACTTTTGTTGGTACTGGGAAATGAAACTAAGTCTCCTGCAAGAAGCTGATCCAGCTCTCAAGTATCTTCCAGCATACACACTGAACTATATTTTTATGTAAAACATAAGTTAATTGAAGTGATACCAAGTAGCTCATATCTAGAACATTACAGGTTTTACTTGTTAGAAAATAAAACCATGCATAATTGTACACATGTACATTCAACCATTTCCAGAAAAGTGTATTTTAGCACTGCTGAAACTTCTAACTACATTCCATTGTTTGTTATAATTACAAATCTTATCTAATTACAGTAAATAATATTAAAATAGAACCTGAAAATAAAACATCTCATTTTAAATTTAAATATTCATTAACTTTCACAGAGAAAGTATACAATTGAATTCATGCTAACATGCTCTATAAGGAATGATTTACTGTTAAATATGATTTTATATCCTAGTCAATAATACCAAAGAAGTATTCAGTAATGAAATATATGTATGTATGTTTACCTTGATGTCACTTCCATTTAGACACATTCTGTTTATCCGACTTCCATTGGGTCTGCTAGAATCAATCCAATATATGAATTCTTCTCTATAATCAAAGTCGATAGCAATGACATTGTTTAATCCCTAAAAGAAGGAACACACATTCAATAACAATTAGTTATGATCCTGAGAAATAATCATCTCTCTTTGAATATAAATGATTACATTCATATTCTAACATCTGTGACAAATATTTTAGGAATATAGTGTCTTTACACATACTTCATACCACCCACTTAAAAGATACATTTTTCTTTTGAAAGTAAAGTCCCAATAAGAAAACAAAATTCCCCAATATTTATAATCTGTTAAATACACAACAAATATGTGAAAAAAAACAAGCAACTTTTAAAGAGAGAAGGTTACAGTATGAAATTTGTGCATCTGCCTGTGTCCAAATTCATGAAGTAGGATCAATGGTAGACCAAACTATTGAAACTGGTGTGGGAAAACATAACATCAAGAAAGCACAAGACCATCTTAGGCACAACCCAGACAAAACTGTAGCATTGAGACCAGGAGTGTACATAAATCCCACCCCAACCAAGAAGCTATTTGCAATTGATACCTATTTGGAGAGGAATAATCAGCTTTTCTGAATGGAGTGTTACTGGGATTATCACCTATACTCTGGAGAAGGCCCCATGCCCATGAACTCCATTTTGTGTACAAATTTTGTTTGGTTGAGTTTGTGTAAATTTCTGTCTGATTGGGTTTTATGTTATTTATAAATTTCAAAGACAAAAAAAGGCAGAACGTGTGGTTAGGTTGTGAAGGAAATGGGGGAAAATGGAGCATTTGGGGAGAAAACAGAGTATGTTCAAACTATATTGCATGAAAATAAGTGTAAATGCAAAGTACTAAGTAAAAATTATAAAGGAAAGAGCAACAGTTTCTGGTGAGGATTTAGGGAAGAAGACTCCTTTATTCACTGCAGTGAGAATATAAAAAGTGAGGGCAGTTCTAACACCAACCTAAACGCTGATCACACCCCAATGACCTATAAAATTCAGAATCAATAAACTGGTGAGCCTTTCTCTTCCTTCAGGACCCCAATCATGCTGGACATAGTAACTATCTCTTCTAATGTTCTCCTAATTCATTGTTTCATCTTGGCTGTTGAAGCTTTCCAAGTCTCTCTGAACTAAGCTCATTTTAAGGATAATCTCATTCCAGCTACATTTCTATGACCTTGGAAATCTCCTCTTTTATTTTCCATTCTAACTAAAAGTAGAAGGCCTGGTGAAGCAGAAATATATCACTAACAAAAATATAGGACAGCAGGGTAGAAAAGTAAAGGAAGGATATGAATAAGAATAAAATAAGCATAAAAGGTCGTGATGAAATTATTTGTTTTCTAACTTAAAAATTAAATAAAATGCAATAAGATAAAATAAATCAAAATAAATGAATTGGATCCCCATAACAGGGTTATCAAAAGAAGCATAACTGCTTGCTTTTTAACCCAGACTTTTGTCCAACAATCAGCTATGATGCCATTTCTGATGCTCATGAAAAACTGGCAGCCCAATGGCAGTTCTGCCCTCATAGGCACCTCACTGTGCAGCTCCAATTATCATAAAAATATTCCAAAGCAAACATGAAATAGCAGCAGTGGAGTGGGGGGCATTTGACTTTTCCCAGGACAGAGAGGAAAACTTGCTTTCACAGAGTTTTTAGTCAAGCCTTATACCATGGTTAGTGGGGATGTTATAATTTATACAGATATGTCCAGATCAAAAAAGACACATAAACATTAGTGTAAGTCACCCTGCTTTCATTCTTCCACCCCTCATGATGCAGTGTCTTAGAGTTTTCTTAACCATGTTTTAATTGAAATTCTTCTCAAAATCACGAGTACTGTATTTTTAAAGTAGAAGGGAGAGCAAGGAAAGAGATATCTTGATTGAGGGAGTCATTACAGAGCTACTGAGCACTTAGGAAATTCCCCTGAACCCACAAAAATGACCTCAACTAAGACCTTAAGCATTAATAACGAGAGTACCGAACTGGCCTTCCCCTGTAATCAGATTGATAACTATCTGAATTATCTTCATAGAAATTCGTCAGGCAACAGAATGAGGCAAATGCAGAGATCCACAGCTAAGTACTTGGCTGAGCTGCCAGAGTCCTATCTAAGACAAGGAGGAGTGATAGTATGAGCAAAGGGGTCAAGATCATTTGGGGGATACCCACAGAAACAGCTGACCTGACTTAGTGTTATCTCATTGACTCAGGGCGGACATCTGGGGAACCTGCATGGCACTTAACTGGGCCCTCTGAATGTGGATGACAAATGAATGGCTTGGGCAGTTTGTGAGGACTCTGGTAGTGAGACCAAGATTTATCGCTAGTTCTTAAACTGGCTTTTTGGAGCCCATTGTCATTGGAGGGATACCTTGTTCAGCCTAGATATGGGGGAGGGGGACCTAGGTCCTGCCTCAAAGAGATGTACCAGACTTCATTGACTCCCTTGGGAAGTTTTACCCTCTTTAAGGAGTGGATGGAGTGGGATGGGGAGAATGTGGTGAGAGAGGAAGGGAGGAAGTGGAAACTGGAATTAGTATGTAAAATGAAAAAAAAGTGTTTTAATAAAAAAATCATGTCTTAATTAACTAATCCACCAAAGAAAAATATGCTTATGAATAGTTGTTATAAAATATGTGTCAAATATGAACGGATATGACTTTAAAAAGAAAGTTAATATTAAATAGAAACATAATATTAGTATGACATTTTATTTGGAGTAACTAGAAAAGAACACTTATCTACTTATATGAGCTAGAGCATCATTAAGTTATTCAGCCACACCTGGATGGCAATCTGGTGAATGGCATTTCATATTTCAAATGCCCTTTTATAGAAGGTTTCATCATATTAGAATGAAATGTTGTGCTCTTATATGACCAAGAAAAAAAATGGATATGTTTTCCACATGAGGGAAATAAAGTCTCCATTCAGAGCCATGGCTATATGTTCTGTGGCGAGTAAAAAAACAACCTAAGAGCAGATATTAGACTTTTTGATGCCCCAGATGTTTGTTTTAGATGTGCTACAGTTGGTTTTTATTTGAGCTGTTTTCCACAGATATTCCTGACTTTTGAATTGTTCAGGTGATTTATCAGGAATTAGTTTAGTTCCAAATTCTTGCTAAGGCTCATCTAATCTAGTTTTAGTAGACTAAGAAAAAGTGGGTCAGAATTTGAACTGCTTATTTTTTCTAATGCAAGATAATTTGTTCATAAACAAATTATTTTCAGTTAGAAGATAATTGGTGCTATAATATAATTGGCAAAAACTCTGAGATCATCATCATGACTTTATATCGAGCTTAATTGCATTATCCTTCACCCTAAAGTTAGATCATCTCACATCTTAAATGAGTTGCAATCTTAGGGTTGAGTGTCTATTCTACCAGAAATTTGCGGGTTTGGTTCACTTTAAGGAAAAAACCATTAACAAACATGGTCATTCTAAAGTTTGACCTCAGTTTTCATTTTTACCCTAAAAGTTCAGAATTTGATAGTAATACTGTTGTCTTGTATTCATATAGTCTTTATAAGAATCAAGCCAAGTTTAAATATTAATGTTCATGTACTTTATTTCTTTTCAAGAATCTCTGAGAACTACAGTGAACTGTTAATAGAAACTATTCAGGAAATACTAGAAAGAAAAAAAATGATCGACATGTAAAATAATAATAATAAAAAAAAAAAAAAACAACAACAACAAAAAAAACGCTTTGACTCCAAAATTTAAGTTGAAGAACAAGTTACTGGGGAAAAGTATTTCTATTTTTGTTTCCACAGAAAATGAAAAGATGTGGATTCCTTCCAGACTAATGTGGTTTGATCAAGCCAGACCGCCTGAAACAGAGTAAGAGGTGATCCTACATTCAAAACAGCTGGACAAAGCAGCCTTACAGACTACAGCCAGGATTTCTGAATCTTCTTCGAATCCCCCATGACAGTGCCCCTTACCAACAGGAAGTAGTTTGGAAAGAACAATGCCCAAATTCCCAAATATTGTCTATAAATGTTTGTTTTCATTTAAATGGACTTTGTTATATAAAATAAATTTAAAAAAAATTAAAAAAAAAAAAGAAAAAGAAAAAAAATGGTTTACTTTCAGTTTCTTTTTGCATGCAGTGTAAATTCTAGTAATAACAACATAAATGTCACTGAGTCAACTCTTAAGCATCATGATGCTTAACATAGCAGCCTCCTTTCACTTTGTCTCCAAATGGAGGCTTTTTTCCCCATAACTAAGATATGAGGTAGTAAAATAATGTCTCCATTCAAGTCTTCACTACACTCAAGTAAATGAAAGTAAATTATTATTGCCACTGCTAATTACAAATGATTACAAAAACTAATAATGGGAGTTAACATTAATTTTCTGAGAATATGGTAAAAACTAGAGACTGATTTAATTAAACCTACTGACCATATCTGAATAAAAAAATGCAAATTTCATATTCTTAGACATCTTAATAAATTCACATCAGTAATCTGCAGCTTGTTTTAACTCAAATGTTTTTGTCTTTAGGGGAAGAGATGGCTAAATGTAGAGCTTTGTAAGGAGAACATACAAAATTGCCTCTGACTTTATCAAGGAATTATCTCCAATTTGTAGTCATTGTTCTCTATTGTCTTGACAGTAATTCATTAAAATAATTATAATTCAAATCCAAAGTTAGCATTACCAGTATAATAAATTAAAGCTGCTAATACAGAGAAATTGAAGCATTTCCAACACAACCAAGTTGGGCCTTTTTCTATAGTTGTACCTTAATGCCCACAGAAAACAGTGCAGTATTCTCTCTGTAGAATCATTTTCAAAGACCAGATCCCTATGGCTTCAGAGTTGAAAATTAATTTTATCAAAGTCCTATTTGCTTTTCTCATTTATATAACTGAAGATTTGTATCTTTTGGTTCAAGATAACTAATTCAGGAAATTACATGTTGCTTCTCTACATAATTTTGCTAGAATAAAGGCACTGTTAGAATTGAATTGTATAACACATTGGAAAGTTACTTGACTAATTTTTATTCTGAAAATATATCTTATTAATGTATATTTTCTAAATGTGGTATGGGAATTTGCACTATAACTTGCCTATAACAATCATATTTTACAGTATATATACCTAGAAAATTCCTACTCATCATTATAACTTATGTAACACAATTATATGAGATTATTATTGGTTACAAATAGAATAGTAAAATTAAAAATACTAGCAAAACCATTCTTCCTAAGCAAGTATACAAAAATATGAATATAAAACATATACTATTTTTTTTAAAAATTTTGGTCAGAGACACAATATCAAGAGAAATTTACTTCACATTTTTCTACATTTTTAGATACTATCATGTAAGTGGGGGTGATTCTGCTTGCAGAAATATTTAAATGATGAAATAATGATGTTCAACAAAAATGATATACTTCAAGAAACCTTCAGGCAAAGATACATGCGAAGCTTTCCTTTGGTCTTTGGGGATTGTTTTAAACATTTCAACAGAGACATGGTTGTCATGAAATTCTAACATACCCACGTCTTCAACATTTCTATAAATTTGGCTCAAGGACGCATTTGAAGTCCATTTCCACTTAAGTATTCATGATTGGCAATAATGTAAAAGGTAACAGGAACCAACACTATATGGAAGTAATTCTACTATGTTAAATAGGATTATATATTTTCTATTAAAATAATCTAAAAAGTCATATTAATGATGAAAAACAACAAATGCATTCTGTTTGAGTGCTTTGAGTTGCAAGACATGGGTATATAAAGCAAGGAGTTAGGAGTTGTCATTGAAATGGGACTATATATCCAATTTTGTTGCTCAACCGAGGTTATAAATGGAGTATTAATGATCTTTCCATAAATTGACATAGTGCAGCATAAAAGCAAGATGTTTTAAATTAGTACTAAAAACATTCTCAATCTTATTAACTTTCAATAGACCATATCTAGATATTTATAGTATTCCTAACAATTTGGGCAGGATATAAAATAACAAGAGAATGCTGCCAATTCTAATATGCCATCTACTCGTAACATGGCATTTTTAAGACAATGCTCAGTGTGAACTGTTCTCTGCCATCTTCCTATACTTCCATGCAGCATATTACAGTATGATGTGACACTTTGCTAGTCATAGTCAAAACATTGATAATAAGTTCTTTTCTACATATATGCATGTATAAGCTTTATATATTTTAAGGGTTAGCAGTTTTATGTATATAACTTTGCCAATACCTGGGGAAACAAACTTACTGTCTTACCATGTTGGAGGTGGCATACCTGCTTAAGTAATGTGTAGTTGGTGCCATCTGTGCTAATTTTTCTAATCTCATGCTGATCAGAAAGAATTAAGAATGGTTCTTCCTCTAAATACAAAGAAAAATTTGCATTAGACATTTTGCACTTACAGCTTCCTGCTGAGGATTCTCTCTGTTCAGGGTGTGGCAGCAAAAATGAACATACAGTACTTTTCTCAGTAATAATTCCCAAAGAAAGCAATTCTGTCTGTAGGTCAGTAAAGGAACACATGTAGGCAGAGCAAGAAATGTGAGTAACTGAACATGTATCTCTCTTACTCTCAGTTCTCTCAGACATTAGACAAATTATTAGGCATAAGAAAATGGATATATGTAAGATATATATATATATGGATAATTTTAGAAAATGATCGTGTATAGCTATTAGAAGCTATAGTAGAAGTAAATATTTGATAGGAATTCCTTCTTGATTATTAATTTTTAGGTTCCAGATTTTGATTTTTTATTTTTGCACTTCTAATTATTTTTGTTTTCAATCCTTTTACATTATTAATTTTTTTGCAAATGCTCCACTAATATATCTTACTCTCTTATTATTTTCAGATTTACAAATGTGCATGAGAAACACATGATTATGTTCAGTGCATTATGAGATATATTTTTTACTCTTTAACTTGGAACTTTGTTAAGTTTTCATTTAGATACAAAATAAATTCTTAAAGAAAAGGGAATACAGTCAAAGAGAGGGAGGAGGAAATATATGAGCAAGGGAGGGTAAGGTCATGATAGAGAAATCTACAGAGACAGCTGAACCAAGCTCATGAAAGCTCATGAACTCTAGACCTAAAATTTAGGAGACTCCAGGTGACTGGATTAGGCCCTTCATATGTGTGAGACAGCTGTGAGGCTTAGACTATCTGAGGGGCTCCTGTAAGTAAGACCATTATACAAACCTGTACATGAGCTAGTTTGTTGGAGCCCATTCCCTGTGATGGGATGCCATGTTCAGCCTTAATGCATGGGAGAGGGGCTTGTTTCTGCCCCAACCTAGTGTTCCAGACTTTGTTGACACCTCATGGGAGCTGTTACCCGAGAGAAGAATTGGACTAGGGGTGTGCTGAGGGGGAGATGAGAGGGAACAAGAGGAGGGATGGGAAGGAGAACTGTGATTGTAATGTAAAATGAAATTTAAAAGAATAAATAAAAAAATAAAGGAGTTCAAAAGCTTTGTATATACATTCATTTGAACAATTATTTAAATGAAGTCAATATAATTATTAGTTTTCATGATATTAAAAACCTAAGAGGGATAGATTTTCACTTCCATGACACTTGTCTACCCTAAAAATCATATGTATGTTGTTTTGTAACATTCTAATGTGAGTGATTTCTCCCCTAATTTACAGAATTATAGCTCTTTATTAAATTCATATTGCTTAGACTAAACGGATGTTAAGATTTTTAAAATAGCTTAATTATTGATAAAATAGTATATAGAAGTATTTAATATCATTACTACCATTAGTGGTCTATGGTTTTCTGTGGCATGCATTTATTCATCACTGAATGTAATACAGGAGAGATGGAAAATTATCACAATAATATCACGGTACTATCTCTCAACTTTGGCTAATGTGATAATAATCTATGACTTAGACAAAGTATGCTGTATAAGTTATGCCACACTATGCAATCTCAACTTAATACTTCACAAAACAATAAGGCAAACTTCTCTTGAGCAGAAAAAAACATGTATAGTATACAAAGTCACAGTAACAGATTCCAATAATGAAGAATTTGAATTTTCAGAAATAGGAACTACGAGTAACTTCAATAAAAATGGTTATAAAATTCAACATCTATTTGTGTAACTGAGCTTGGATCATCAGACAAAGTCAGTTCACTACCTGAGAGTGACCTGCAACCATTTTGGTTATTGGGCTGTATTTCATAGCCTTCTGCACAATGGCACTTGTAGGTTCCATATGTATTGATGCATTGCTGACTACAGGGGAAGCCTGTAGAACATTCATCAATGTCTACACATGTTTTGCCATCATCCTTCAGTTGGAATCCAGGCCAGCATTTGCACTAGGAAAACAAAAATGAGAATGATCAACATATGTCATTGTCCTTGTCTTTTGCTTTTGATTATCTCTTTAGCAATGTTCACAAAAGAAAGACACTTAAATAAGTAATGGGAAGTTGTCCTGTCTCCTCCCAAATAACCTCAGCAAAATTCATATATTATGTAAAGTTAAAAAACCTTCTGACTTGCTAAATCTCAGAAAATTAGAAGTGAATTAACACCACTAAAGCCAAGTATCTAGAAAAGAGCATGGCTCAAGCTAGAACTTATCCTGTATCTTCTGTTTGATATTTATTCATAAACTTATATTTCCGAGGTTATAATACAATTACATCATTTACTTCATCCTTTTCTCTCTCCAAATCCTCTCATATACCCATTACTGGTCTCTTTCATATTCATGGTCTCTTTTTCATTAACTGCTGTTACATGCATGCAGGTATATACTTATATATTCCTATGTATGTAAATACAAAGCAAAACAACTTTGAATAACTTATGAGATTTTTTACTATGGACTGAAACTATACTTGGCAGATGTCTATTATTGTTGTTGTCATTTTACTTGTTCTTGTTCTTTAACATGGTTTGCTCTGTTTTCTTTATGTAAGTGATTTTGTGGATAGTGAAAATTGAGTTAGGAACAACCTATTTAAACAGCTAAAAATTCTCTTACAGCTACTCATAATAGACATTTTGTGGCATTCATCATTTATTTGAGAATGAAAAAGATGACAAAGATTTTCATTTGTTAGGAAACCTATCAGGTGTTGCATGATCATACTATTTATTCATAATTTTAATATAAAAATACACATGTAGAAGAAATAAGGTGATAGCAAGAATTTAATGTGCTTAGAATTTAGGTAAATATATTTTCCTGAGTGTTGTTTTATACAGGATGAATCCCCTAATTCAGTGGTATTCAACCTTCCTTTCATGCAGTTCCCCCATGGAGGGATAACTGCCTTAGCTTAGAGACAGGAGAGAAGCCCTAGTTCCTACTTCAAATGACCTGTCAGATCTACATGTCCCCAACTGGTTGGCATTGCCCTACATATGGAATTGGGGTGGGGGAATGGGAGGGGAAGGTGATTAGGGTGAAAGTGAGAGGTCCGAGAGGATAAAAGGGAGGGGGAGGAAGGGACGGAGGGAGGGAGGGAAGGAACTGGGATCAACATGTTAAAAAAAAAATAGCTCCCATATACTCATGTGTTTGAATGGTTTGAATGACTCACCCATATGAGTGGTGTGCTTTAGGAAATATGGCTTTGTTGTGTGAAGTGTCACTGTGGGTGTGGTCTTTGAGATCTCAGATGCTCAAGATAGGCCTAGTATGGTAGTCATTTCCTGCTACCTGTGATTTTAGATGTAGAACACTCACCTCCTTCTCCAGCACCAATTCTGCCTGCATGCTGCCATGCTGCCCACCATGATGAAAACCGCTTAAGCCACTGAACTGTAAGCCAGTCTTAATTAAATGTTTTCCTTAAACCCTGACTAAAATTATTGATTGTGTTACACACATATCACTTAAACTAAACTAGCATCCATAACCATATAATTTTCATGTGGACATACAGATGCAGATATGCATGTGCATGCATATGTGTATGTGTATGTATATGTGTTTATATATACACACATATGTATATACACACATAGAGGTAAATAATAGATGAAAATAGTATATGTAATGGGTTAATTTTCTTAAATATTTTATTTATGATACTAAACTTAATATTTACTAATCTTATTACTTTTAAATAAATTTTATTTAAATTTAAAACAATCTTATTCTACATACCAATTCCAATTCCTTCTCCTTCTCATCCTTCCATTCCTCCCAACATATCCCCATCCCATTCCCCATCCATTATTCAGGGAAGGTGAAGCAACTCATGAGGGATCATCAAAGTCTGTCACAAAATTTCGGGCAGGACTGAGATCTTCCCTGTGACATGTAAGCTGAGAAAGTATACCTCCATAATGATTGGGCTCCAAAAGTCCATTCATCTCTAGGGACAAATACTGCTTCACTGGCAGAGGCACCATACAGTGCCCAAGTCCCCCATCTGACACCCATGTTCACAGTGTCTTGTTCTGTTTTATGCAGGTTCTCCAGCTGTCAGACTGGAGTCTGTGAGCTCCCAATTTTTCCTATGGGTTTCCTATGGGTTTCCTCGGCATGGTATTAACCACTTTGTTCATCATTCCTGCCTTTCCACAACTGGATTCCAGGAATTCAGCTCAATACTTAGCTGTGACTCTCTGCTTCTGTTTCCATCAGCTACTTGATGAATGCTCCATGGTGGTATTTAAGGTAGTCATCAATCTCATTGTAGGGGAAGGGTATTTAAGGTAACCTCTACACTATTGCTTAGATTCTAACTTGGGGTCATCTTTGTTCATTCCTGGTTATTTCTGTAGTGCCAGGGTTCTCTTTAAGCCCATAAGAGCTCCCTCTATCAGGTCTTATTTCTTAAAACACAGGATTCACTTTATTGATCAATCTTAACAAAGGCACATGTGCATTCAAGAAAATAAATTTGGAGCAATTATTCAGCTTCTGTTTATTTTTAAATCTACATTAGTATACTTTGGCCAGAACTTTTACTTCTATATAAAGCATATTCAGAAAGGCAAAGTAAAAATAATATTTTAAAGCTTTGAACTATCAAGTATTGCATGGTGAGGGATATTAAGATAATATAGTGTGATCCAACATAGCATTCCATGTAACATAATCTCCTTCCTTCTAAAGGACTATGCCACTGCTGTGCACTAAGAGTGCCTCCTATTACACATTTTAAATGAAAATCTCATTTTATATCTTGCTCAAATGTCCAAACATGGTGGTTGCCATGTATTGAATTGTAAATTAAGTTCTTAATTGATCTAGATAATAAAAACTCAGAGTCAGATATAAAGGAAAATGCTCAGAGTTCAGAGAGAAGGAACAAGCCATTGTCACACTCCTTTGCATCTCAGCAGATAAGAGAGCAAGTTCCTGATTCTCCCTGCTTATATACTGTTTCTACCCAGCTATCTCACTCCCTGTCTATCTGTACAAACCTCCAGACCTCTATGGTTAGCTAGTGGAAAACTCTATTCTCTGACCTTCAGATAGGCTTTATTTACACAAGCAAGATATCACCACATTGTGTCTCTTTTTGTATTAAGTATATTAGATTTCATTAATTACAAGCAACAAGTTCAAAGACCTACTTTGATATGTCATACAATATATGTATACATACATATGTATATGTATATGTAATTAATAAAATTATGCTTCCTTATTTTAACTAGTTGCTTATAATAATTCTACTTAACCTCTTTTGTTATATTCAGAAAACATGTCTGTATTTCTAATGTTTAACTTACCAAAACAATTTTACTTTCCTTGGCTTATAAACATTTCCTACAAAAATTAACTATTAGATACATACTCCTTATTAAGTGCTCTCTTGGCTCATTTGTTCTACCTCTTTCTTCTTGTGGTATGTGCTTATACATGTTTACATGATATAAGTCTGTAAGTAAAACTATATTTTAATACAAAATGAAGTCAGATTCATTTTTGAAAAACATAGCTTTCTTAATATTCCTTTTCTTTTCCTTTCTTTCTCTATTTCTTCCTTCCTTCCTTCCTTTCTTCCTTCCTTCCTTCCTTCCTTTCTTTTTTTTAATGCTAGGGAGCCAACCTAATGTCTTGCATATGCTAAACAAATATTCTACCAATCAGCTCCATCTACAGAATTTATATTTCACTTTTCATTTCTATTTTTTCTATAAGAAAAATGTTGAAATTCCTGGGGTATATAGGTATATGCATACACACAATGTTGTGGTTGTTTGAATCATAATGGCCCTCAATCGCACATAAGGAATATCACTATTAGGAGGTATGGTCTTGTTTGAGTAAGTGTGGACTTGTTGGAGGATGTATGTCACTGTAGATAGGATTAGGGTTTCAGAATCTTAAGCAAGGCCTAATATTTAGTGTCTCTTCCTGATGCCTGGTAAATCAAACAGAACTCTTAACTCCTTTTCTAACCACATGCCTGAAAACCACCATATTTCACAACATGACAATAATGGACTAAACCTCTGAGGTGTAACCCACAATTAAATATTTTCCTTTATTAGAGTTGATGTTGCCATGAAATCTCTTCACAGCAGTATATATGTTAACAAAAACAGAAGTTGGTACCAGGGACTGAGTAGTGTTGTGACAGACCTAACCATATTTTTGTTTAGAGGAATGTGGTCTTTTGGACTTTGGCTTAGAAAAGCAATAGAATGTTTAAATGTACTTAAAGGGACATACTTGTAGATATGTGGATGACAGTAGTGCTTTGGGTGATTTGAACTGCAGGGGCCTGGATAAAGTCATTTCAGAGGTAAAGAATGTTATTATGTGGCCTCGAGACTGTTCTTGTGATATTTAGTGAAGAATGTGGCTGCTTTCTGCTCTTGTACAAAACAAACAAACAAACAAACAAACAAACAAAAAAACAAACAAACAAAAGAAAATGCCAGAAACATAATTGCAGAGTTCTTGATTAATTTCATCTGTAGACGAAATTTATTTCAAAACAGTCTAGTGTAAATTGTGTTGCTTGTTTATTAGTGGCCTAGTTAATGTATAACTATAATGGAAATGAGCAAACTGATAAAGACAAGTTACAAAATTGTCAAATAAGGGGATAAGGGGCAACAGTAATGGTATGGAGCTAAGTCGTATGTCCAAAGAGATAAACAGATTAAAGAAAATCCTGATGCCGAATGGAATGAAGGGAGTAGTGACTTCAGAGAAAGGTCCCCATTAAGCTTCCAACTTGTGAGAAGAAATTAAAGGCAAGTGCAGTGTCAGTTATGGTGGTACACACCTTTAATCTCAGCACTCTAGAAACAGAGGCTGGGAGATCACTGAGTTCAAGGCCAGTCTGATTTACAGAGGGCATTCCAGGGTAGCAAAGCTTAGACTTTGAAAGAAACTGTTGAAAACAAAAAGCTGATGAGCATATAATTGAAGGAAGGATCAAATTCCATTCCCAGCAAGTTGGAGAACTTGGAAGCCTAGGCCATGTGGTTCTGGATTTAGAGTCAAGGATAGAAGAAATGGGTTATGGAATCTCCCTTCACTACTAAGGAAAGCAGTTGAAGCCAAGTGTGTGTGAGGTGTGTCTCTTAATACCAATAGAAACTCCAAGAAACATATACATCATATAATCCTTACCAAATTGAGTTAACTAATCATAATACCAGAAATTTAGAGATTAAAACTAGCCAAGTAGCTATTAGGTTGAATTTGTATTGTGCAGAAATGTCTCTTTATAGGCTGCTATATAAGTCAGGATTAACTTCTTGGTATTTTCATGATAGACACACCTTTTTGTTCAGGCTTTGTTTATAGAGTTCACATAGTTGATGCTGAACCACTGGTGCTGTGTGAAACAACATGTCTTAGCCATTGACTCTATGCAAGCCTAACATGCTTCTTATTACATTAGTTTGTAAAGTTAACCCCAGTAAATGTGACCTACACACTTATGTTTGTAGATGTATATGTGTTATGTGTGCGAGTTTTTTTGCCTGTGTGTTTCTTTATATTTCTGTGTGCTTTTCTCAATGGGCATGGAGGACAAAAGACGTTGTAGGATCCCACTGAACTGGTGTTACAGCTAATTGCCAGCTGCCATGGGGGTACTGGGAATTGGACCTGGCAAGTTCAGAAAACGTTCCTATCTTCTGAGCCATTTCGCTAACTACTATATTTATAAATGTATACAAAAAAATCACATGTTAAGGTTACTTTTAATGAAATACTATATCCATAACTGTATATATTTTCCATGTTGTGTTCTATAGGTACAGAACTCAGTAGAGCAACCTCTGTCTCCAGTGATATTTCTAATTGGCAACTGGCTGCCTCTTTATAGAAGGCATAGCCTATCGCCTATTCCCCTGAGTCACTGTCCAGTTAAAAACAAACAAACAAACAAAAAAACCTGTAATTTTGGAGTTATTTTTGTTTCTGTGAGGCAGGGAATTTTGCTCAGGATTGTGCACACATGAATGAGATTTTCCACCAAAGGAGTTATAGCCTCAGGCTTCAAATTAACTGTTCTTAATGGGGTTTCCCAATCAATCATCCATATCAATATTACAGAGCCAGTGGCAGTATAATATATCCATGACTTTAAGAGCTGTATCTGGCCATGAATTTTCCACTGAGTCATTCTTCTCATGAAAACTGTACTAGTAAAAAAAAAAATGATGAAGTAATTAGGTATGAATTAAGTTTACTGTGCTTATTCAAGGTTTTCATTATGCATGGATTATATATTTTCTTCATAATTTTATGATAATGTTGTAGTTTATATTTTTATATGAACAATGGCTACCCACCTGACTGAAAGGATGTGCAGGAGAAAGGGTGGGGGAATGAAAACTTGGGTGAAATGTACATTTTCACAGCTTTTATCTCCTCATGGTCTCTAAATTGTCCCCTTCCCTTAAGCTGAAAATTGTAACATTTTTTTATTCCTAACTATATTCTTATATTCTCATCTATATTATCTTTTTTTCTGATAGAAATCTTTCTGTAAATCCCTTTACCTAGAAAAATTACAATGCTTTTCAAGTTTTAAGGTCATATTGGAAATAAAGTTTTTATTGTATCATTTTCTGATGTTTGATACGATTTGCTATTTTCGATGAGTGCCTACCTTGTAACTTACTGGCAAATCCTGACAATCTTGGGAACATCCACTGACTTTTTTACTCAGACATTCATTTATGTGGCAGTTTCTTTCATCTGAGCCATCACCGCAGTCATCCCTATTGTCACAAAGACCACCGCTGGGAATGCACCTGCCATTTTTGCACATAAAAAATGAACTGTTGCATGAATGTTCTGGAAAAAGAAAATAAAACATGGAATATAAAATGAATGCTTTTGCATGACTCTGTTCTAGAAAATACTCACAAATATGATAACTGGTGTGTAAAAAATTACCCTGACTAAATGTGCATGTAAGATGCTTGACAGGTTAATATCAGGCTTTTATGAACAATGTAAAGGGTGCCAAAGGCAAACAGTATGCACTTGTTTTACAGATAATGAAGACCCAGCTTTTATATGAAATTCGCAATTGAAAGAAGCATCTATAGCAATATTAATGTATTCTATCTCATTTACACTGTGAATAATGAGTTCAAAGGTGTAAAGATGACTTGACATTTCCCCCAAGCTAGAGATCTCTGCAAAATTATTTGTTACTAAAAGCCTAAAAGATAGAAGAAGTAGATACTGCTAAATTAATTTCTTCCAGAAAGTACAGCACTGACATTTTTAAGTCAGACCATATAAAAGACATTGATGGTGAACAATAGTTCTTCCAAATACAACTTTAGAAAGAGTTCAGCTTGCAGGTTCTTCAACTAGAATGCTTACCATGACAGTCCATAGTATGTGGTCAAGAAAAGAAAGGTTATAAACATGTACAGGGTATCAGGAAGATTGAGTTTGTACTAAAATACATGACTTAACAGTTTTTGTTATAGTGAAGTGCTACATAAATTAATCTGGTTGTGCATTTCTGTGAGCATATACAAATTTGTACATAATATGTTCTTGTATTTCTGATCAAAGGATATGTAATATCATCCAATTTGTGCATATATGCATAATATGGACTATTCCTTAGTAAATATTTCCCAATATAATCTCATTTAAAAATTAATTGAATTGCAATAATTATACATATTTATGGAATAATATGGTGATATAACTAAACATGCTTACAGATTAAATGTCATTCTAATGGTACCTCTTTAAGTCTTAATTTAGTTTATACTTTAACTTTTATATAAACCTATGTAGAAAAATTTTCCCTGTAAATAAAATGTTAATTCAAGTTACATATATGCATTGCAACATATCACGTACCTTTAATTCTAGCATTTAAGAGATGGGTGAAAAAAAAAAAAAGAAGTTAGAGCTTTTATTTGGCTATACAGTTTGAGTTAGCCCAAACAATTTAAGAACCTGCCTCAAAACAACAGCAAAGATGATATATTTCTGAGGTAAGAGGGTAGAGTAATGAACCATCAAGATTGTTTGGCACAACCTTAAACAAAAACAGTAGGTTCTTCACAGAACCAGTGGAAACATCATGTGTTTGACCATGTGTGTTTACTTCACTGTATACCTAACCAAACATAATTCAAAACAAAACTTCAGAATCATGGCATGGTGATTCATGTTTCTCATTTCAGTGCGCAGAAGGCTGAGGCTAGAGAATTCCAGGTTTGAGGCCAGCCTAGGCAATATAGAGAATCCTGTCTCAAAGAAACAAAAGTAAAAACATAAGAATAAATCTGAATAAGAACAGAGTACTGTATAGTGTAGTACCTGAACTCCTGCACTTTGGGTTAATTGGGTCCTCATCAGAACCATCAGGACAGTCAAAGTCACCATCACACTGCCATAGAGTGTTCACTAGGCAGCGTCCATCAGCACAGCGGAACTCTTCTGCACCACACTGCCGATATCCTAGAAAAAAAACAAGCAAGTATTCTACAAGCTCCTATTACAGAAATGAATTGACATTACCTTCTCGGTGCACAGTATATCCAATCAAATGAGCCATGGACCTCTGTGGAAAATACTTCTTATTTCTTTCCATTACTTTGTGTGTGAAAGCAGGAATAAAGGCCAAATATGAACTTGGAAATAAGATACCATGTTTTTAGGTAAAGAAGATGACTGTATCACATAATCAACAGTGTTTATTCAGTGATTGTCTGCATCCAACCCATTTCTCTTAGGATGCAAAACAGAATGAAAACTACTAGGAACTATTCCAAGACTTGGTTTCTTGGTTAGCTGTAGTATCAGAACATATGTGTAAATTAATTCTGAGCTATAGCAACCATTCATAGTAGCTGTAAGGTTATATTTATGCTTTGTAAATATTATTCCTTGTAAAAAGAAATTACTAAAATAAGAAAAAAAAATAAAATCTATAAAATGAAAATTTTTGTAACTATTCGCCATGCAAAATCTTAGGGTCATCTCTCTAATATGTAGATTCTTAGGATCATTAAAAATCTAATCATAAAATGAGCCCTGATTTGTTAAAGTTCACATCTGTTTATTTATGTGAATTGTATTTATGTTTGATTTCTAAATTGTAATTTATAATGAGATTGCCCTATTTGTAGATTATAAACTAAGTCATTCCTAGTGTTAATAAAACCATGTAATTGTGCGTTTAGAGGTAGAATTTTATTACTTAATAAAGTTCTAGCAACAAAGACAATTCAGTGAATATCTGATGAAATATTTGTCCCATTGGATGATGAAACTGTTGTCCTCTACAAAATACTTTTGGCAGTCTATACCTTCTCTAGCCATTTGTCCCTGCTAACAATTAGAGCAAGTCCTTCCTGGTCCAACCAGCAGCAAGTTCATCCTCATCCCTGTAAGCATAGTGCTTTCCTTTTCTTTCCTGCAAAATCTTGTCTATACTTGACAACTTCCAGTTCCCATTAATTAATTAAACATTATTGCTTGTAACATCTTCCTTCAGGAATTACTCTTAGAAATTAAAAGGAAAAATGCTAAGCAAAGGCTGTCAAATTCAAGTCTCTCAGGATTCTAACTGATCAGTTTTTGGCAGGATATTTGTTGTTCTTGACTGCACAGTCACTACCTGTTTAAGTATTCATAATCCACTCTCCTGGGCTTCTTTCAATCTTCCTGTGTAAAACCTCTTCCTGATCCAACTTAAAGGACTGCAGGAGAAACCCTGAACACCATCTCTGGAATATTGCTTTTCTTTTTATTTATTTTTTTTTATTGCTTTCCTATTTATTTTTTATTTTTGTTTTGGCTCTGTCTCATTCTTTCCTTTATTTGCTAAATTGATAGTTAACCTTAGTGCTAATGGCCAACATAATAGTAAATTCTTATGCTTATTTTTGTTACTTGCATGACTTAGAGTCCCTTTAATTGACCTTGAATAGATACATTCTACAAAACCTCATACTCACCACATTGCTGGAACTCATCTGAGCCATCTCCACAATCATCATCATGGTCACAAACAAACTGCTTGGGAATGCAGACGTTATTGTGGCACATGAAAGCATTTTCATCACATGTATTATTGGGTGCTAAAAAATTACAAAAAATAAAATTAAATGAGTACATACTTTATCTTCTCTCATACTTGACGTATACAGTACAAATATTTTTCTATCAATTTCTAGGTACTTCAGAATAAATAATGTTAACATTTTGCTATTGGATGCATTAGGTATAAGAATAGCCTGATATGTATATTAAAATTCTAATGTATTCATTCATGATTCAAAGGCTGGTTCAGTGAGCAGAAACAATGTGAATGAGACACATAAAGGATACACCAAGAAAGTGTCACTGTTCTTAAAAGAAAAATCTTTTGGTAACCCTCAAAAAAGGTTTGATTCAAGCAAAATTAAGATGTCCACGGTAATGAGCCACATCATAATTCAACCAATATCATGACTGCTGACACTTGCAATGGAATATTCATTCTACTGGAATAAAGACCAATGGAAGCAGTATTCCAGCAAGATCTAAGTGATGGTGTATCTAAATTTGCAATACAATTCATTCAAAAAAAATCTACTTTGATTCTATGTGCATAGAACCACAAGCCAAGAACCTAGTTACCAAAATACCAAATAATCCAATCAAAAAAGGAGGTACAGAACTAAATATCAAATTCTCAATAGAGGAATCTAAAAGGCTGAAAGACAATTAAGAATGCATTCAACATTCTTAGCCATCATGGAAATGAAAATTAAAACAACTCTGAGATATTATCTTATTCCTGTCAGAATGGCTAACATCAAAAACACCAAAGACAGTTTATGCTGGGATGGATGTGGAGAAGAGCAACTCTCCTCCACTGCTAGTGGTAATGCAAACTTGTACAGCCATTTTGGAGATCAGTATGGTAGTTCCTCAGGAAAATGGGAATCAGTCTACCAGAGGACCCGGTAATCCCCCTCTTAGGTGGATCCACATCCATGCACCAAGGACAATTGGTCAAATATTTCATAGCAGCATTATTTGTAATAGACCTGAAAACAACCTAAATACCCATCAACTGAAGAATGGTTGGAGAAAATGTGGTACATTTACACAATGGAGTACTAAGCAGGGGGAAAACACAATGGAATCTTGAAATTCGCTGGCAAGTGGATGAAAATGGAAGAAACTATCCTGAGTGAGGAAACCCATATACACACACACACACAAAAGAGAAACATTGTATTTATTCACTCATATATGGATTTTAGACATAGAGCAAAGGATTACCATCCTACAATCCACACCATCAGAAAAGCTAGGAAACAAGGAGGACACTCAGAGAGACATACAAGGTCTCTGGGAGAAGGGGAAAGGGACAAGAGCTCCCAAGCAAATTGGGAGCATGAGGGGAGGGGAAAGGAAGTTATGGAGAACAGGAGATCAGAGGCAGGAGTAATGAAGCAGGAAGATTGAATCAGGAAAAGAATAGAGGAGAGCAAGAAAAGAGATACCATAACAGAGGGAGCCATTATAGCTTTTAAGAGAAATCTGTCACTAGGGAAATGTGCAGAGTTCTACAAGGATGACCCAAACTAACAATCTAAGCAATAGTAGAGGGGCTACCTTAAATGCCCTTCCCCAATATGGAGATTGATGACTATCTTATATGCCATCCTAGAGCCTTTATCTAGTAGCTGATGGAAGCAGAAGCAGATACTCACAGCTAAACCCTGAGGCTAACTCTTGGAATCCAATTGTAGACAAGGAGTAATGTGCAAAGTGGTCAAGATCAGGCTGGAGAAACCCATACAATCTGTTGACCTGAACAAGGGGGAGCTCATGGATTCCAGTGTGTTAGCTGGGAGACCAGTATAGGATTAATCCAGATTCCCTAAATGTGGTGTTAGTTAGAAGGACTAGGCATTCTATGGGGCCTCTGGTAGTGGATCAGTATTTATCCCTAGTATAGTAATCGACTTCTGGAGCCCATTCCACATAGAGGGATACTCCCTTAGCCTAGACACATGTGGTAAGAGGGCCTTGGCTCTGCTCCAAATGATATAACAGACTTTGAAAACTCCTCTTGGAAGACTTTACCCTACCTGGAGACTAGCAAGGGGATGGGATGGGGGTTGTTAAGGGAAGAAGGGAAGATAGGAGGGTGAGGGAACTGTGTTTGATATGTAACACAATATTGTTACTAATTTAAATTAAATATATATATATATGTTATATATATATATATATATATATATATATATATATATATATAAAGTCTCAGTGGTCTTCAGTTTGAAAAACTCATTTGTATAGAATAAATACTGTTACAATATGTCACCCAAAAATTTGCTATTGTATTTTTTACATTATTTCTATGAATAAAACACAATTATGATTTGTTAAAAAAAAAAAAGAAAAGAAAAGAAAAAAGAACCACAAGCCTTAGCAGAATTCTATACAGTTAACTAAAAAATACAGATGTGGTAGTGCTCAAGGTTCTAAACACTGTGAATGTTTCAAACGTGTGATTTGCCATAATCATGTGCCAACAGCAGAAGATTCATAAACAGCTCTCTCTATCCTATATTTGCATGCTTGAGGAAGTAAGCATCTCCTTTGTTCATCTGTTTCTTCATCTGTTTAATGAAGATAATTAAATATGTATGACAATGTTCTCATGATGATAAATTGTATGTGGAACTTACCTTTCAGCTTTGGTATTCAGTAATTCATAGGTACTCTCAGAATTCCTACTTCTAGACTAATTCTATTTTGTATTCTATGCATTTATAATGTAAATAAAATGTTATTGCTGCACTGATTAACATACAATGGGCATTAAAATAAGTAAACACTGTTGTCTCCATGGAAAATGCCTGTCTTTGTCTTTCAAGATGGCATAGTTTGGTTCAGCTTTTAATATGTCAACACAAGATTCTTGGTACATTTCTTTGTGATAATATAGTGTCCTTTTCCATACATAACTCTGAGAGTTGAGATTTTAGAATTATTGTCCCACATGCCTCTCAGTTCCCTGTTGCCATCTGTCTTATACCCCATGAACCAACTTTCATTATCCTCTTAGTAATTATCTACATAGAACTGTGTGTGTGTGTGTGTGTGTGTGTGTGTTCCAGTTAATTTTACTTTCTACTAATTTATTTTGATCTTCTGTGTAGAAGTCCATCAAAAGTAGCATTAAGTTTACATGTTTTAATTAAAGTGAACCTCAGAACTGTCAATAACACATCTAACTTTGAGCTGTGACAGTTTATCTAACTCAAGTGAATTATGCCAATCCTGATATGTACAATTTACTTTAAAGCAGATCAACAATGACTTATTTTATATTAATACTTTCAGGTCATTTAAGTACATATTTTTTTTATATTTTAGCATTATCCATTAACACATGTGGTCCACAAGTGTTAATACACCTACCAGGATGCTAACTTATGACAACAGCAACAGCATGTGCAATAATCTGGATTTTTGAATATTTACATAGTCCCTTGTAATAGCCCTCTGTGGCAACATTGACCTTCACAGAACCACATCAACTTTGTCTACACTATAACAGGAGGAGCTGTAAGCAAGTAATGCTGGATCAAATGTTTGCTGTTATGCTTTTATTCTTTTGACATACATATGTGCCAACGGGCTCAATATAATATTATAAAGTTATAAAGATTGGATTTTTTAAAACAATTATGGTTTTGTCAGATTTCACTAAACAGACAGAATCTGACAAATAGACCCTTCCCGAAAAACAGCCAGCTCAACAGATCACTAGCGATCTTGGCATCTACAGTCACATGCTGGAGGTTTTTCACCCTCCTGACCATGTAAAAGATTTTAGTTAAACTTTTACTGAAGAGTCACTCCTTGAAATGACCTTGAGTCAAACTTTGTAAACTGTCTGACCTCAAAGGCTTTCCTCTTAATCCTTCAGTTTCCTTTGGTTCTATTGATGCTTTCTTTACCTGACCTGAAGTTTAATACCACATCTCTAGAACTGATAGGTGTCTACTGACTTCTTGATCTGTATTTACCTAAAAGCAGCTATTTATAGAGTATCTGTAATAGGCATTCAAAAAAAATTGAAGGGAAGGTTTACTTAACAAGAAAATTCTAGGCCTACCAACCATCTGTACATAATGAAGTCATCCTATTTTGGAGCTTAAATAGCAAATTTACAGCCAGTGAAATGGTTTTAAAATTGTTGCTGAAATTGTGCATATCTGAAACACTTTGAATGTAGAAGGCTTGATAAACTACTATCATTATAATGTCCAACCTGGACTCTTGAAGAATGGGGAAAGTGAAAGAAAATATTGTGGTATGAGAAAAGCAACCCACTAATGTTCTTCAGCTTATTTATTTGACACACAACTTCATCAAATGTTCATACCACAGCCTGCAGTATAGAGCTCATCACTCCCATCCGGACAGTCTCTCTCACCATCACACAGCCAATGTTTGGGCACGCAGGCATGGGAGGCCTGGCAGCTGAACATATCAGAAGCACAAGTGACAGCACCTTAAACCCAAAGAAAAGTGATATTAAATCATATGTATCCACTAGAAAATAGCTACAGTAGCCAGAGTTCATCTTTCCTGTAGAAATAAGCAAGATGGATTTGCGAGCAATTAAAGGAAAATAATTATTTACAGTTGTGAATTATGCTGTCCTAATGACAGTTGACATATTCTTATTTAACAATATATTATTTTTGACTTTAGGGGGAATACTCCCTTAGCCTAGAGACAGGAGAAAATGCCTAGACCCTACTTCAAATGACTTGACAGATTTTGATGATCCCTCCTGGAAGGCATCACCCTCCCTGTGGAGTGGGAGGAGAATGGGACAGGAGGGAGGGTTGCGGTCCATGGGAGGGAGGAAGGGGGATACTGGGATTGAAATGTAAAATAAGAAAAGATAATAAATAAAAATTAATAATAAAAACTGAAAAATGTATTATTTTCTAGTTTCAAGTGCTGTCCTGTTTACCACTACATCATACAAAGTATTATTTCTTCTCCTTGAAAAATTTTAAAACAATGACATTGTAAAGTAATTGAGGCTACATAGGCAGGATCAATAGCAGGGACAGTGATGACATTTTATAGCTTAGCATGTACCAATTATTCAATGTGTCATCTCCCTTCATCCAGCAGACAACATCAGCTTTTGCAAACTGAAAACTTGGAGCAATCCCAAGAGCAGCTCCCTATATTGACCCTGAAGGAACAAATATTTCCTTGTGGCTCTAAGTACATTCTCTCACTAGCTTGTATGAGTACTGGTCCACTTCATCATACATTACAGCAAAGACTAAAGCTCACTCCTTTCTCCTTTATTCAGAATCTGCCTTCCCACTTTGGTCACTTGTCCTAACGAGCTATATGATACCTCTTTCAACTCTTGGTGACCTGGACTGCAAATTCTCAGGGACACAGACAGCTTCTCTATGAGCATATAGTAATCACACATCAATGGCTAGATGTATCCTTAACTACTTCCTTACTGTATATCTTCAATGCTCAGTTTATTTGTTTATATAAAATGTTTGTTGGGTGAAATAACTCAAGTTTTTAATTTTACTTTTGATAATAATGTCCAAAATATAAGACAAAAACATACTTCTATAATTTATTTTACAAAGCTTTAGTATACCTATAAAAGGATAGAGTAAAAGTGATACTTTCTTTGCTAACAACAACAGCAAGGCTCTGTGTTCAATTTCTAGCAAAATACAAAATGCAAAAAAAAAATAATAGAAAGGTGGATTTAATTGACAGAAAGTATTTGCTTCCAATCAGACAAATGGAGACTAATGTACTTTAATCGATGTTTATTGTCTTTTCACTTTCAGTCATATGAGTACTGAGAGCACAAAGTGGTTTCTCAAAGCATTATTCTCAATCCATGCAGCAGATGACTATTTGAACAAATTCCCTTAGAGACACAGGCTTTCCTAACCCTGACTGCCTTTGCATGTATGAAGCCAGAAGGATAAGATTGATGTGAACATGGAAGTATCCAGGTGTTGAAGAACTGTCTATTTGATGTTAAGGATTAATAATTTAAGAGGAGGGCTAAGAGAATAAACAAGAGAATAATCTGTAAAAAAAAAAAATAGCTGCTATTGCATACTATTGACTTTTAAAATAAGTATTGTCCCACAGAAATTAATATATATGTTCCTTAACTTTTAAAGTCATTTTCAATATTAAAATCATAATAACTTCTGTAATAATGGCAATACCATGATCATTCCAGCCTTTGAAAAGTCTCTTGTCTATGTTTTCTCTCCTGCTAGAAAAAGAGGTATGAGTAGGTAATTATAAAGACATCTCCAATGATGAAATGACATTATGTATTTTGCAGCTAATTTGATGGCTCCCTTGATAATGTTCAACAGATTCTGAGAGAATAACCTGCTAAAACACTAAATCAATTGGGAAGAAACTAGCCATAGAAAACCTCATGGTGTCATTTCCTAGTTGCCACTGCCATCTGGTATAACAATCCACAGGGAAATTTGGTCCTTAGAGAGATAAACACATATTGAAAACCATTCCCCAGGCTCAACTTGTGCTCTTTTCAGACAAGAAGAGCTGATTGGTAAAGTTCTGTATCCTATTAATATGTTGGAAATTTGTCCCTACCACTGTCATCAGCCATTAGCTGTATGATTTCAAGTACATTTATTAATCTCTATGCAATTCCCTTTCTTCACATATCAAAATCTAGAGATGTGTGAATTTCAATGTTGACCACCTGAATGTACCATGTCAGATAAAATCCACTTATTAAAAATCATGGTTATATACATCATCTTAATATTTGGAAGTGATGGTCTGTAGTCTGTATTTTAATGGGACTCTAAAAGGGATTTTTTGGAGGGAAATATTCAAAGATCTACAAAGAAGAATGACCCCGACTAATAATAGATAGATAGATAGATAGATAGATAGATAGATAGATAGATAGACAGACAGACAGACAGACAGGTAGGTAGATAAATATGAGACAGGCATGGATTCATACTGGATAGTAAGAATGTTGAAATTGTATTAAATATAAAAACAGTAAGCCTATCAGTCTTAAAGATCTTTAAAAAAAACAACTTTAAACTATTTGTGAGGCTATATTTATTGGTAATATATTGTTCAAAAGTTTAAAAAAATGAGTATAAAAATAAACAATCTAATCAATAGTGGAGAGGCTATCTTAAATGCCCCTACCAAATAATGAGATTGATGACTACCTTATATGCCATCCTAATGCCTTCATTTAGTATCTGATGGAAGCAGAAGCAGACACCCACAGCTAAACACTAAGCTGAAGTCCTGGAATTTGGTTTCAGAGAAGGAGGAGTGATGAGCAAAGAGGCAAAGTGGTCAAGACCAGGCTGGAGAAACCCACATAAAATGCTGACCTAAACAAGGGGAAACTCATGGACTTCAGTCTGATAGCTGGGCAATCAGCATAGGACTGACCAAGATTCCATTAATGTGGTGTTAATTAGGAGGACTAGGCAGTCTATGGGGCCTCTGGTAGTGGATTTGGATTTATCCCTAGTGTAGGAATGGATTTGGGAGTCCATACCACAAAGGCACATGCAGGAATGCCTAGGCCCTGCTTCCAAATGATATAACAGACTTTAAAGGCTCCCCATGGAAGGCCTCACTTTTCCTGGGGAGCAGAAAGGGAATGAGATGGAAGTTGGTGGGATGGACAGGGGAGGAAGAGAGGTTGTAGGAACCAGGTGCCATGTAAAACAAGCTTGTTTCAAATTTAAATTAAAAGAAAATTAAGAAGGGATTGTTTTAGTACAGTACATGTTGTGAATCACTGAGATGAGTTGTTTGTAAGGTTGCCTTCCAATTCTAAAATATTGGATTCATTTGATGACAGAAATTTGGTCTTATGTGTGATCATATTGTTATAAAAGAAAATACAGCCTATTATCAAATTGAATTGACCCATTATTTTGAATTCAAATAAGTTTCAATACCATTATTTTCATTATTTAAAAGCATTTTCAAGACATTGAGAGAATGTAGAAAGAGGGAGAAAGAGAATGAGAAGCTTTTCATCTCTTGGACAAAAAGATAAAAAGATAGGAAGAAGAACTAAGTGAAATACAGGAAAAAAATCTCATGGACACAGTGCAAAATAATCAAAGAAATTATGTAAACAAATCTTTCCACATCTCTTTATTGGTGAAAAAAATCAAGAAATGAGCAATAAAATTAGTTTCCCTGAAACTGAAAAACAGAATGCAGTGACTCTGTATAGCCCTAGGGCCTTTGCCCCTCATATTAGACTGTGTCTTTAAGAAAGCAGTTATTGAGCACAGACACTTAGACTGACAATTAATAAATGAAACCTCCTCAAACTAAGAAGCTTCTGTAAGGTAAAGGACACAGTGGACAAGACTAAAAAGCAGCCCATATATTTGGAAAAGATCTTCACTATTCCCACATTTGACAGAGGGCTGATTTATAAAGTATACAAAGACCTCAAGAAACTCGTCATCAAAACACCAAATAACCCTATTAAAAAGCGGAGTACATAATTGAAGAAAGAATTCTCAATAGAGGAATCCAAAATAGCTGAAAGACACTTAAGAAAGGACTCAACATCCTTAGCCATCAGGGAAACACAAATCAAAACAACTCTGAGATACCATCTTACCCTGTTAGAATGTCTAAAATCACAAACACCAATGATAGCATCCATCATTGGCCTAAAGGCCTAAAATATTCAACAGGCTTTTCTGTGAAGCAGGATAATTAAAGAGCTATCCTGCCTTGTATTGGCAAAGGTCAAAAGTTTTTTTGTGTGTCCCACTTGTTCAATTTGGATAGGATACTATCAGCATTGGAGACAAGGGTATGTTTTTGCCTAGCTGCTTACTTCTGTTACCAAGAAAGGACATTCCATGTAGACTTTATTCAATGCCCCCCATCTTCTTTGAAGTAGATTAGTGCTACCAGGAGCAAACATGTCTCATTGTGATAATAATTTAAAAAAAAATCCTATTATCCAAAACATTTTAAATGCCATATTCTATAGATCTCTGAAATATTTGAAGATGACATTTCTTCCTAATATATTTATGTCTGATCTTACAAACATACCCAATGGGACTATAAGTTCAATTGTATTTGGTGACTAACCTGCATTTATTTATTACCATAAAGAATTGGTAAAAATAATTTACAAGAACTAGAATCTTGCATTATATTTTTAAATGAGTTCTGAAGGTACAATATCTTGAACAAAATTAGAAATGTATGTACAGTGTATTTTATCAAATTAACCTCAAATACATATCAACATACAAATTTGCATGCATCATATAAAAGTCCAATTCATTGTAAAATATTTAAAACTAGTGGTTGCTCTGAGATAAAATCTTACTCCTGCCAGAATGGCTAAAATTAGAAACATCAGTGATTACTTATGCTGGACAGGATGTGGAGAAAGGGGAAACTCTTACACTTCTGGTGGTAGTGCAAACTGGA